ATCTCCTCGGTTCCATCACTGATTTGGGTCACAGTTGGTGTCGTACCAGCCCCCACATTTTTGGCATCAGCCCCCAAAATTGGTGTGTTGTTGTCAGATTCGTTAGCCATCTGATCACAAGTAAAGAACAGGTATCAGTATGTAAACGATTTAACACACAGCAGTTCAAGTAATGATTTATCTAAAATAAACCAAAAGTGTTGTTTAGCAAACTCGCTTGTAAAAGCGTTCGCTGAAACGTTTTAAAATGGTCAAAGCGTTTTGCAAACTCGCTCTAAAGCGTTCGCAGAAACCTTCACCCTTTTGCGGAATCACTGTAAAGCGTTCGTAAAACTGTTTGTATCGTTTCGAAAACGATTCGCGGAATCACTATAAAACGATTCGCAAATCTGTAATCGCTTAAAACCAAAAAAACGTTTATAAAGATTGTTTTATGAAATTGCAAAAAGTCTAAATCCGATTGTAGTGATAAACTAGAAGCGGATTCATTTGAGTTAAGAATGTAGAACCACTAAAATGGAATGACAAAAAATTGCAATTGAACTGATAATATAAACGGCGGTAATAAGCAGTAATAAGCGATTATAATATGAAATAAACATGGATAAACAATTGCAAAAGAAACAATATGAAACGGAAACAAAAGAGGAACGAGAGGATTATAAAACGTTTTAAGAAACCCGAAAAAATGCTGAGGCAAGATTTCTCTCTTTCCTTAACTCAAATGAATCGCCCATTCGTGTGACGGTTCTGTATGATTCTCGAGTCCTAGGATACAACGCGCAGAAGACCGTTTCGCAACACTGGAAAAACGGAATCTACGAACTTAGAAAAGTACTACGCTATACTCTCGAGACTTACTTAAACGGAAGGGAGACTGCTGGAAATTTTCTGTGTTTTAAACTTGGTGAAAAATGAGGAAAGGGAAGGGTTTCTTTTATAGCCAAGAGAAGAGTCCGTTTTGATTTTGAAAAGTCAAACGAAATCAATTATTCCGTGAGACTCGCTCAGAATAATTGACTGGAGTAAATGGTGATCGTGGGCGAAAAATCTGGAACGAATATTTTTTAACAGAAATATTTGAACAGTTTCTCCAAAAAATAAATGTTTGTTTTGACCCAAAACGTAATAGACCGGAGGCTCTCTACTAAGAGCCAAGAGCCAGCACCGAGCCGAGTGCGCGCGTGCAGGAACCACCTCTCCTTCCAACAGCTTTTAGACTCCCAAAAGTCTTCTCCCCAATATAAACAAGAAGATTTCTCTTTCTTTATCCGATGTGGGACAATTCCCCATTTCCTCATTTACATGTTGCTTTGTAAAAGGTTTTATTTTTGTGAACCCAAACCCGTTTCGTTTTTCACATATACAAAATTTTATAAAGTTCACATGCTTTATTAAAATTGGTCCAACACCGTGTGACACTAAGTCACTAACCATCGATTGTTCACATTTAAAATATTGTTATGGTCACTCTCGAGAATAGTTTTAAGAGTGACATTCATATATAAATCCCCCATGTTTAATATCCACCACATCATAGCTCCCAAAGACTTTTGTTGGTTATTTGACTAGTTGGTTACATATTGATTCCTTAATCAATGAGTTAATGAAAAAGCTTTACTAGCAAAGTATAGATTAAACTAAAGATGCCTTGTCAAAGAGTCGCTTTCACAATCGAAAGGCAATACCCACTAAACTCGAACTCATGCTGATGCTATCCCAATTTTCTCATCGCAACTTATATATTTAAAATACATTTACAATTCTTACTTTTGTCTCTAACGTTTCCCGAAACGAATACATTCTCGACATCTTTATTGTAACGCGTCTCACAACCTTTTTTGTTTATAAATGTGACAATTATGATTTGTCTACCTTACTTTTGTGTGATCTAACTTAAAGTATCACGATTTGACAAATGTAACTCGTCTACTTTTTGTGTTGCTGCTAATAGCAAAAAAAAAATGCCAATTTAACTTTTTTATAATGTGAAAGAAAGACGATTTACACATTTCAGAAAAACGTCAGTGATTTAATTAGGCAATCACTAAAACGGAGATACGCGGATATTAGCTTTTATTACATATTTTCGAACCAATCGCAGATAGAAGTTTAGTCACTTACTGTTGTATGCTTCTTATTTTCCTTCAATAAATTTATTAATTTCCAGTATAAAAAATTAGTTAGGCAGATAGAAAAAAAGTAACTATTCTATTGACCATGATTTCAGATTTCATAACAGAATATCATACTTCAATTCTTGAAATAACTCTGAAACCAAATAAAAACAAAATGGTACATATTCATTAACATATTATGTGTTGAATTCATGGCTAAAACATTATATTTATTAATTCACGTAGCACGTAGGTACATGTAGAAGTAAAACCTAAATCTCTTTTTACTTACTAATCCTTTTAACAACGAAATAAATAAGTTTTAAAATTCGTTGAAGTCTCTGCTAAAAATCGATCGTTTTGTTGTAACCAATAGAAGTATATATATATAATTAATGGACTAAAGCAAGTTGGTTGTAATGATTTATGTTTTACGTTTCATTCAAAATTTGATAGTAACAGAAAAGTTTCAAAATTTCTTAGAGTTTCATAATCCTTAACATGAAAGAAAACAAACAAAAAACACGTCTTACTAGAGCAATTCAGGAAAGGGTAGAACCATTTGAAAATCCATTAATTTTCTATATTGAGGAAAAAACAAATGTGATACGGATTCATTGTGTGTGTGTTTTTTTTTTTAAAAGTGTACTAGTATAAATGAAGAAAGCGACAAGTAATGTCGATACAATTTTCATATTGACATTTTGTAACTATAAATACACGATTACGCGCAGTAATTTAATTAACGCGGTGCTGTAAACCATCCTTTTACTTAAGAGCTGTAATGAGTTTACTTAAAACTTAATCAAAATTCAATTTCGGGACATTTTTAATGGATCCGACGATATTTAATCCATATTAGACGTTACATTGTTTAGTTCGTAGGTCTGGACGTGTGGTATACATAAGTGTTTATCTTTTTGGCACAAAATGGATACTATACACCAGTCTTGACCAAAAAAAATTGGTTACCAAACGTCTCTTTAGGTCTTAGAATATAGTATCATCAGGTAGTATTGTTTATTGACTTTATTCATAGCAGATAAGATTTAATATTCCAAAAACGAAGATTTTTTTTTATGTATTAGTAGTAATGGAGCAGTCATCTACGCGGCTAGTGAAATGGTTTAGGTGAGACTAAGTATGAATTGGGAATTGGGAGGAAACGTAAGTATATAGTTTTCGACAAGAAATGACCAAAGAACTACACGATGGTCTTGATTTCATTTTTTATTCAGTTCTTTTTAATATGTATTATTGGCATAAAGAACTACACGACGGTCTTAATTTCTTTCTTTTTTTTAATATGAATTATTGGCATTTCCCCTACTTTGCATGGAAAATGAGTCATTGATGTGCCACCCGCCACCATAAAATATTAGGGAATGTATACGTTCTCCTGAGACTTCCTTTCAAATGTTGAAACATACAAACTTCCTTTAAAATTAAGCCATCGAACATATAAATTCTATGTATAAAAACTGCATATATATATATATATATTATGTATATTATTTTAGTTGGAATTTGGAAAAAAATGGTCAAAGTTAGAATGTAAGAAATGAGTATTTTTGCTCGACAAACTTTGGTATGCAAGAATTGATACTTTACTGGACTTTTGAATATAGTTTTAAAATAATTGGTATTTTTTTATAGTATTAATACTAGCATAAGCCCATATCACATGTGTAAACGGAAGCATAAACGTTAAACAAAAACGGGATGATGTTTTTGTTATAGCGTAATTATCAAAAAGAAAAAACTAGTCCGTAAAAAAAAAGTAATTAATTTGAATGCTAGGTTTGGTCGGTTTTATATTTCCAAAATGAAAAAACTAGATTGTGTGTTTTTATGATCAGTCATAGACTCATAGTGTAATTATGATCAAGAGCTGATGTTAGATTGTTATCTGTTGCATATTATTAGTTTATTATAGACTTATAACCAATATTTTATGTAAACAATTCAAATATTTTCAACTAAGTATTTCGTACTTATAATTTTGAATTGTTTCCGACCTATCTAACAACCTACATATTGGTCGGTCTGCGTCTACATTTCCAAAAAGGAAAAATAAAAAGAGAAACTTTGTATTTAATTGCCGGTAATTATTTTAAGGGTTTTTAATTTGTTTTTCCTTTTTGCAATCAGTAATCAATAGTTTGTAGAATAAAATTTACATACATGGTCGGATGGAATCTCTTCGTTAATTTGCTAGCAAGTAACATTTTTTGACACATATAGGAAACATCCTTGTCTCCCACCATTTTAAAAAGTGTTGGTTCGATACATTAATATAGAATATTTTATCAATTGAGAATTTGGTGAACAATTGCGCACGGAGAAACAAAGACGAAAACATATTAATTTATAACTAACTACTATTTCATTTGTTTCATTATTCTGTATATCGTATTATCATTTTTTTTTTTTGGCGGGGGCTAAAAACGTATTATCGTTGTTGTTCCGAGAGACCAAGACTATATATACATTTTCTTATACATTTTTGCCGTCCTAAATCTCGTCTAAAACCAAAATTAACGAATAGGCACGACCCAAAATATCTCTGATTTATTAAATCATCCAATTCTTCTATATTCTATCTAATTCCGTCGTGGGCACAACACTACACAAGTTAACTACATATTCGATGAGTTGAAAAATACCCGATGAATCTCTAAATAGAATAATGTAAAAGAGCATGCACGAACCTTTCATTGTCACACGTTTTTGTTATTCTATTTGCATAATCATATTTTTTTTTAAAAAAAAATGAAGTCAAAAAGACCATTTCATCTCTTGTATCACACTATAAATACTGTTCCACTTGAATCTATCACTTAATCATTTTCAGAGAATCATAACAGAAAGAAAACAAAAAAAATGGTCCTCTTCGCTTTAACTTCGTCTTCTTCTTCTAAGCTAAAACAACGATCACACCAAAGCTTCTCCGAGTCTTTAATGGAAGATAGCATCGAAGACGCTGAATCAATCATTCATCGATGGATTTCACCTCAACTTCTCGACATCTCTTCTTCTTCCTCTTTCTGCTGCATCACCTCGCTTTTCTCCACCGGAAACCGCGAAGAAGCAACACGATTCATCGCCGCCGTTAAAACCTTACACTCCGGAATGGTTAGACTGATCTCGACAAATCCAGCATCGTTGAAGCTAGTTCGAGCAGAGAATCTAATGCGAATCTCCATGGATCATCTAGCTAAAGAGTTTTACCGGATTCTCAAATCGAATCGGAGATATCTTGATCCTGAATCCGTCTCCGTTCGGTCTCGGAAGGTCTCTCATGGAGAAGATGCAGACGCTATGGCGGATTTGAAGATGATCGCCGATTGCATGACGTCATCAGGTTACGGAAGAGAATGCTTTAGGATTTACCGGAAAATCCGGAAATCGATCATCGTCGAAGCAATGGATCGACTCGGTTTCGAGGATTTGAGTTTATCGCAGATGCAGAAACTGGATTGGGAGTATTTGGAGAAGAAGATGAGAAATTGGTTACGAGCGGCGAGAAAAGCCGTGACGACTCTGTTTTACGGTGAACGAATCCTCTCCGATCACGTCTTCTCTTCTTCTTCCGCCGCGATTCGAGAATCTTCCTTCGCGGAAATCACTCTACAGAGCGCTTTAACGATGTTCACTTTCCCGGAAAACATGGCGAAATCCCGGAAATCTCCCGAGAAAATCTTCCTCACGCTCGACGTTTACCAATCCATCGTCGAGCTCTTGCCGGTAATCGAAGAAGTTTTCAGCTACGATTCAACTTCTCCCGTCAAATCACAGATCGACGTAACCCTAACGGATCTCGAGGAAGGAGTAATTTCAATGCTCGACGAATTCGAGTCGTCGATTGCAAAAGAATCTTCGAAATCCCTAATCTCCGGCGGCGGAATCCACCAGCTCACGAGATACGTCATGAATTTCATCGTCTTCCTCGCCGATTACAGCGACCCACTCGCCGATATCATCTCCAAAACGCCGTCGTCCTTCACCGGCGACGTTGATTCATCATCGTCATCATCGCCGCTCGCTAAACGAATTTCGTGGCTGATTCTGTTCCTTCTCTGCAAAATCGACGCGAAATCTCGTCTCTACAACGACGTGGCTCTCTCGTATCTCTTCCTCATCAACAATCTCAATTACGTCGGGGTCAAAGTCCGTACATCGAATCTAAAGGAGATTCTGAGCGAAGATTGGCTGGAGAAGCACGAAGGGAAAGTGAAGAAGTACGTCGCGAAATTCGTGGAGATCGTTTGGGGAGAGATGGTGGTGATGATGACGTCACTTTCGACGACGGCGGAGGAGGAGGAAGAAGAAGAAGCGGAGGAGGTTGTCAGGCGGTTTAGTGACCGGTTCGAGGAAGCGTACAAGAGGCAAACTGGTTGGGTCGTACCGGATTCGAAATTGAGAGACGAGATTAAAGTTTCAGTCGCTATGATGCTTATACCTGCTTACGCGGAGTGTAACAAAAAGTGCCGGGTCGGGTTACGAAAGAATGTCGGGTTTGTCCCTGAGGATATTGGGAATTACCTTTCGGATCTGTATTTTGGAACAGGTGGATCAGGGATTGTTTCGTCAATTCACTCTTCGGATACTGATATTTGACACACGTGACAGTTAGTACAGTAATATAGCTGCTGTAATTATTTTGGAATATATATGGTTTCCCGCCTATATTAAAGGCTTTTGCGATTAAGATAATTATTTAAAATTTAGGTGTTTACTATAAAAAATTTGAGAAATATCATGAAAGTATAAAAATTACTTGGGCCGGATAGCTCTCTCTCTATTCTCTCTCTTAAATTCTTTCACAGAAAGAGATAGAGAGAGACTGTTCTCCTTTTTTTTTTTTTTTTTGACTGTTCTCCTTTTGTTTATATTCTTTTTTGTTATTCCGTTTAATCGGAGAATAAGTTCTGGCAAGATCGGTTTTATGTATTATACTTCCTTCCGTTCATCAGATTTAGTATTTCCAATTTGTTTGAATTTAGTTTTTATCCTTTTTGCATGCTATCTTTGACTCTTCTTTACGAAGTAATCAAATTCCAAAAGTAATCGATTGATTCACCGTTACTTTCTATTTCTTCCATGATACTTCATGATAGATGTATCATAGCGAGGATTTTATTGTTACACTCCGCGTAAGCAGGTACTTCATGGTAGATGTATTGAGCGAAGGTACTTCATGGTAGATGTATCAAGATGATGCGGTTTGATTATAGAGGATTATGAAGATTTAGATTTTCTCGCCATGTTTTGGTGGTCATCTAGAGAATATTCCGGATCCAGTCAACCGATATTTATTCCGGTGTTTCAAGTTTGCTATACTCGATCTCCTCCAGCGAAACTGTAAAGGGATCTTGCGGTACATACTGGCACAAGTTGAAGCTTCACGGCGGTGACGACAAGATTTTTTTATCAACAACGTCGGCGGTGTAAGATTACGACGGAGATGAAGTGTCCGATAAAGTTTTCGTTCTTATCTTCTCCAGCGGTCACGTGGGGATGAAACTCCCCACCTAATACACATGTCTTGTTTAAGTTTCATGTCTATCTTTATTTTTTTTTTAATGTGTGTAATCCATTGGACTAGTATTTGGGTCAAATGTTATACCGTTTTCTGGTTTGTGTGCCTTAATAAAATAATTGACCAAAAAGTATAAAAATTAGTTTCTGTTCCAAATCTATCACACTAAATTTTAAATTTCCAAAATTACACAAATTATTGTGTGAAAATATTTGTTGACCCTAGAAGAATTACAAATATTAAAATACTATGTTTGGATACTTTTTTCCAATTTAGAGTTTTGATCTTTCCCTATTATAAGAAGGAGTTTTGAGTATTTTGATATTTAATTTGTGCTATTGTACGGAAGTTTTTTTGAACCGATCGCATAAGAGAACAAATATTTTTAGATTAGTAGTTTTGTCTTGATATTTTGGTGATTATTTCACTCCAACATAACTCTTTATGTTCTCTTCAAGTCATCTCTCCACCAACCACCATGGACCGCCCACCCATTTTAATTCAATTAACAACATTACTATTCATGTTCTCTTCAACTCTCTGCATAAATTTTAAAAAATATATATATATATATATATATATATATATATATTAGAATTACGTTTTTCCACAAAAACACCACCTGTTTGGTGGCCTCAACAGTGCTGATCCAAACAGACAAAAAAAATGATTGTTTAAAAAGGATCAAGTCATACTTTGAACTCATGTTATATATCCAAGACTCATGTTTTCATAAAGACTCATTAATCCTAAACAAAATTGAACACACTAGTTATTCTTCAACTTTTTCGAGCTTTACTCAACACAAAATCATAACTAACTGTTTCAAAATCAATTTAATATACCAGTTTTTTTTTAACACATAAAATGACCATAACAAACAAAATTTTGTACTACTAATGCACATAGATTTGGATTATAAGATGTTACTTACTATGTTCATAGCCAACAAAATTTACCAAATGATTATACTAATTAAAAATTTAAAATTCTCAATTGAAGTTTAGCTTCACTTTTTGTTAAAGCATTATCACGGGTTTCAACTAACTAAAATATAACTAATCATACATGAGGCTAAATACCTAGAATTCTAACACTTTTGATTTGATTTGCCATTTCTCTCTTTATTTGACTTTCCACATCTCTCTCTCTTTTTCTCATCTACAACTTATATACACATTCTGTACAGTATTGGATAAGCAAATATCTGATTCCACGACACATCTAACATCAGCTCAATATACCACTTCAGCTGATGAGAGGATAAAAAGAACAATTTACCACCTGTTTTCGTTCTCCAACCTGACTGTACTTATACTTTGTTTGGCAACAGCTGATTGAAGAACCAGTTCAAGAATAACCTAATGGAGTACAAACACTTTCTAGTACAGAATTATGAATTGGGATATTTGAATTTGATAACAATGACGAAAGTAAACCGTGAGTTTGTATTTCATTTCACCTTTTTTTCCTTTACTATTGTTTTTAGAAGTTGAAATTCTTGATATTTTTTTGCAGCTTCATAGATACTTATCACAAGAAACTAGTCACAGTCAGTATCATGAGAGGATCCGAAACTTTTGTGGGAAAGTCTAACTAACAAAGTCTCTCTAACAAAGAAACTAGAGAACCTAGATCGAACAATGACGTGGTACAAGTCATTGGTGTGTGCCAAACACATTTCATATATAAACTTTTGGATAGCCTTCAAATATTTTTTTTTTGGAGCTTTAAATGTTTTCATTCGTAATTATAAAATGATATATATGAAAAAGGTGAACTCACTCCCACAGCTCGCCATATTAGCACTTCAAAGCCCAACAAATGTTCATTTTAAAAATAAATTTAATGACATTTATTCTAATTTTTAATTTATTAAGTGTAATTTTTATCTAAGAAAGTACATTAGTCTTTTTTTTTAATAAACATCTATATTTTCAATCATATCTTTTTATTTTTTTTGTCTTTTCAACTTTTTATCTGAGAAAATATATAAATTTAAGTTTTAAAGTTGTTGTTTTCAATTTTTTAGTCTCGATGTTCTACTAGAAAAATTCATACCCCACTAAAAGAAAAAAAACAAATTAAATTTAATTTTATAATCTTTGGGTTTGTTCTAGAAATATGTTAAGTCGGTTTGAAGAGGTTGCGAAAAACCTGCGAAATCATATTTAAAAACACAATTCCATTATTCCGCAAGTTATCTTTAAGCTTACCATTTCAAGCAATTCAACCCAAAAAATGTGGCTTTTATCTATGTTTTTTATTCATATCATAATTATGATTTCTTAAATAGTAAAATAATTTTCCTAGTTATCCTATTTCTAATCCAAAAAAAAAAATTTTTAATAAAGATTTTGTTTTTTCAAAAAACTAAACAAATGATCATATTCTTATAATTATATGAATACAAATATATTTATAAAAATATTATACCAAACAAAACCCGCAAGCCTGTAGTTTTAGTTTTTGTCTATCAAGATTAAAAATAATTCTTGACATTTCACTCGTCTTCTGTTTTTGTTTTTTTCTTTTTCTTTTGAAAATCTTTACACATCGTATTATTGAAGTCATTTTTTCTTGATGACTTATATTTTTTGTACAATCATGAATAATAGTGATAGATTAGATTTATTTAATAATGTAAACTATAGAAATTTGAACATTAACCAACTTATTCTAAATACGTTGACCAATATAATAATAATGTATCTCATGAATCATGACTATGAATAGATTGTTGATTGATATTCAAGGTTTTTGCATCTCTTAAGGTTCATTATTGCCTGGTTTCACTCCAACAATAAGATCATTTAGAGTAGCTTTATTTTTGTATATATGAGTCCATTTGTTTATATATGATAATCTAAAAGTCAAAGTAGTATTTTCCATTCGTTTGTATTTTGGAGTTATTTACGAGCAAAAATTAGCAATGTGAGCTTGGAGAGGATCTTATGTTGTCTTAGACATTGGAAGGAAGTGACATTAAGATAAAGTTTTATGCATATTTTAGATCTAAATCTCTTTATGAAAAAAGCTTGTTCCTTTTTCATCTTCTCTAGAGTTTTTTACCCTCTTTTTTTACTTGCAATATATTCTTGAGCCTTCACAGCTTCATCTACGTACGGTTTTAGTAAGAATGTGTGAGTAGATCTCTTTCAAAGAATGGTTTAGGTAGATTAGGTTAAACCGACAGTTTGATATGGATTCTTATGATCTTTATGCTTTCCATTATTTGGGATTCTTGATGCTAGGTTGAGGCTTGATCATCCAAAACTTTAACAATGGCCCTTTTTCCCGAAAAAGTGTTTAAGAAAATGTCTCTGTCTATATTTGCATCCTCTATTACATGTTAAAAAATCAAGATTTGATATTTGACTTTTTCCTTTCTTATTTCTTTAACAATGGTAAATCTCAATTTACATTCTACATTTAGGCAACACTCTCAATATCAGAGGTTTATAAATAATTCAAAACCCCAAATAGACTACCATATCCAAATCCTTTGATATCTTCTTCTTCCTTTGTGCCTATTTTAGAAGTAAGTAGCTGCTTCCTAAAGTCTTTTACTACAGTAAAATCAAATATATCTTTCTAAAAAAGAAGATGAGAGAATAGAGGATAACCACATGCTTCAATAGACTCGAATTAAAGACCTCAAACATAAAATAGTCAATGAAAAACACTACTTCCTTAGAACCTCCAAAACAAAACTCGAAACATCATTTCTTCAACATTTAGAATCTCCAAAATAAAACTTGAAACATCAGTTCATCGACATTCAAACTATAAACACTTACAAAAAAAACAGAAAAAAAAAACAAAATGATGCTACTATTCAAACCATCTTCGACCCTTGCAAAAAGGTCTAAACCACGTCCATACCAAAGCTTCTCCGAGTCTCTTCTAATCGATAGTATTGAAGCAACAGAAAATCTCACACGAAAATGGATTTCTCCTGATCTCTCTCCTTCTTCTTCTTCTTGCTCCCTCTCCTCAATTTTCTCAACCGATAATCGCCTCGAAGGAAGAAGATTTGTAGAAGTTATCAGCAGCCTACAATACGCGATCCAAGGCGTAATGCTGGTGAATCCCGAGTCCCACAAGCTCACTAGAGCCCATAATCTAGTCACCATCGCAATGAAACACTTGGAGAAGGAGTTTTATCGAATCTTGAAGTCGAACCGACGGAATCTTGATCCAGAATCCGTCTCCGTTCGATCTTCAAGATCATTCAACCCGAGGCAACAAGTCTCCATTTACTCCAACGTTCCCAAATCCGAAGACGCAGATGTCATGACCGATCTGAAAATGATCGCTGATTGCATGATATCTTCAGGTTACGAAAACGAATGCGTCAAGATTTACAAGAAGATTAGAAGATCGATCATCGTCGAATCTTTGAGCAAACTAGGGTTCGAGAATCTAAGTTTCGGCAAGATTCAGAAACTTGAATGGGAGAGTATGGAGAAGAACATAAAAAACTGGCTAGAAGCTACCAAGATCGTGATCGCTAACTTGTTCGACGGAGAAAGAATCCTCTGCGACCACGTTTTCTCGAGTTACGTCTCCATCGCAGAATCTTGCTTCTCCGATATCACGCTCGATAGTGCTTTGACTCTCTTCATCTTCCCCGTGAGCGTCGCGAGATGCCGGAAAACCGTCGAGAAAATCTTCTCCACGCTCGACGTTTACCAAACGATCTCTAAGCTTCTTCCACAAATCGAGGAGATCTTTAGCTACGACTCAACCTCAGCCGTCAGATTACAAGCTGCCGATTCTTTGAACAGCTTAGCCGGAGCGATTAACTCAATGGTCGCCGAGTTCGAAGCTTCGATCACTAAAGAATCTTCGAAATCGTCGATCCCTGGAGGTGGAGTTCATCAGCTAACGAGATATGTGATGAACTTTGTCGTCTTCCTCGCTGATTACAACGAATCTCTCGCCGGAGTTCTCACAGAGTCGACGTTACCGTTGCCGGAAGATTACGCAGGCGAGTTAGGATCTTTATCTTCTTCTTCTTCTCCGGTGACCACAAGATTCGCGTGGCTGATACTAGTCTTGCTCTGTAAAATCGACACCAAATCTAGGGTTTACAATGACGTGGCTCTCACGTATCTGTTCTTAGCCAACAATCTCCATTACGTGATCTCCAAGGTTCGAACGTCGAACCTTAGAGTCGTGCTTGGAGACGAGTGGGTGGCGAGTCACGAAGGGAGAGTGAGTCAGTACCTTGACAAGTACGAGAGAATCGCATGGGGAGAGGTGATGACGTCACTCTCCGACGAGGAGGCTGTGATGGAAGAAAACGTTGCAAAAGAGCGGTTGAAGCGGTTCAATGAAGCGTTAGAGGAGGCGTTTCGGAAGCAGAGCGATTGGGTGGTTCCAGATTCGAAAATGAGAGAGGATTTGAGAGATTCCGTGGCGAAGAAGTTAACTTGTGTTGCGTCGTCGTTTTATGAAAAGCACCACGTGGAGACTTGGGAGGATGTTGTCAGATTCGTCCCTGAAGGTTTGGGTAATTACCTTTCTGATCTCTTTCTAGGTACGGGAGGATCTTGTAGTATTGTTCCTTCTTCACTCAAATCTTCAGAATCAGGACGTTCACTTTCAGAATCGGGACGGTGAAAATTTTGTGGGGAAGTGGCGTTTGTGTAAATATTATACTTTTGAGGATCTTGGCGATGAAAAAATTTGATCGTTGGATTGTGACTTTCTTGAAAAATGTTTGATTGACCATCGTTGGGACACGTGTGGGCATGTGAAGCCTGTTGACCAATATTTGTATAGTGGCTTTTGTTAAAAAGGTTTTATATCAACTCAAAAGTCAAAACGTAGAAGCCCATCTAAACGGCTTGTTTTATTTTCTTCCTCATAAAAGTGTAAGCTGTTAAAGAAAAGAAAAAAGAAAAAAAAATTATGTTGGGTCTCTAACGCACAAGTAAAAATGAGACCCTTTTGTTAATCTAAAATATAATTTAAAAAAATGGCGTTTAACACATGGACGAAGGCTGTGCATTGAGTGAATTTTGTTGAGCTTGTGAGAAAAGATATAACATTTCTTAATCTTACAACAAAACATTTCTTAATCTTACAACAAAACATACTATAAAAGAACATGGCATTCGTATTTCATCGGAAATCGGTCAAAAATTCCCGACAAAACTGTTTCTATCAGAAAATTCCGTCAAAACTATCTTTCTTTCCTTATAGCATACTATCACTCGTGATCTCAGATTATAGGACTTTTGTTAGAAAGTTAATAGTGATCATGAACCTATAATCAAAATATTTTAGAGTGATGGCAAAGCGACCGGCCAGTGACCACTATGACTAAGGTTTTGATTGGTAATTTTGCGGAATGGCGGAACTGCAGAAAAAATCTTGCGGAATAGATTAAGCGACTTATAAGTCGCTTTTCTGCGGAATGACTTTTCCTTTGTATTTTTGTTAAGAAAAAACGCAGTCTGCATTTTTATGTGTATTTTTTCATTACACGAATTTTTGTTGATTGGCAAAAAACCTGCGGAATTGTATTTAAAAATGCAATTCCGCCATTCCGCAGGTTACCAATCAGAGCCTAAATGAACCGTAGGGTTTCAAGATTATCTTGTGTATTTTTAGACACGACCAGACACAGGAGCAAAGGAACCATGTGTTTTTGCAGCCAAGTTTTTATATATCTTCGAGGCTAAAAGATAAGAGGAAAAATCGTTATTTCCTATTGGTAATGGCGCAAACATGTCCTCTCTGAGTGGCGGGTTTACAACCTTAAGGTATGTATCAATATTTTCGTATAAATTTTAATACAATAATGGTGGACTAAGAACTTAAATCATATTAAACCCTGTATGTAATTCGGTCAGATTCTACTTTGGATTTTTTCAATAAATATTGAATATTATCCTTTCTAATTGTTTTGAATTACATGCACAAAAACATCTACTATGGTTAGTAAATGAACGCATTCATAAACACTCTTCAACCTCTTTTGGAGTCTAGAAATGATAACAGTTCCTAGCGTTTTTTATTAAAATAATTCATGCTAGAATCTCACGTGTTTCCACTGCGACTTTATACCCTTTTTCCGCATTATAATAAACAAAGAACCACATATTCGATATGGTTTGGTTTAGGATAAGATTAGCAGAGATTTTAGGAGATTTGATTTGGTGTTTGGATTTGATTTAGTAGTTAAGATTTCAGTTAGATATTATTTTCTTGTTTCTCAAGTTTATCATTTAGTTGTAAGGCTTCTTATATAAGCCAACGCTTTCACAGTTTAATAAGATGAGATATTCAGTTTACTCTTTCATTTCTAATATCTGGTATCAGAGCAAAGGCACTAAACCTATCGATCATTTCAAGAGATGACGGAAGCCGCAAGTTTCACTGCACCTGCTGTACCGAAGTTTGATGGAGACTACGACCATTGGAGCCTGGTCATGGAGAACCTTCTCCGTTCCAAGGAGTACTGGACGGTCAGTGAGCCTGGTTTTGAAGATCTAAAAAGGATTGAGGCGCCCACTCCGGCACAAAAAAAGGAGCTTGATGACGCAAAACTCAAAGATCTCAAAGCCAAGAACTACCTGTTTCAATCAATCGATAAAACCACTCTCAAGACGATCACTCAGAAGGAGACGGCGAAGCAGTTGTGGGATTCCATGAAGGTTAAGCATCAAGGGGGGGCTAGGGTGAAGCGAGCTCAACTTCAAAGGCTGAGAAAAACCTTTGAAACTCTGGAGATGAAAGCTGGAGAAGCGGTGGCTGGATACTTCTCTCGAGTCATGGATATAACCAATGACATGAGGAACTGTGGTGAGATCATTGACGACGTCAAGATCGTGGAGAAGATTCTTCGGAGTCTGACAGACAACTTTAACTTTGTGGTCTGTTCGATCGAGGAATCTAAGGACATCGACGAGCTCACCGTTGATGAACTGCAGGCGTCGCTGCAGATACATGAGAGTAAAGTGAGGGAGAAAAGATGCAAGGAGCAAGTCCTGCAAGTTGAGAACGAGCCAAGGAATGCTCGGGGAAGAGGAAGATGGAACTTCCAAAGGGGAAGAAGTGGAAACAGAGGATGCGGAAGAGGGAGATCATTTGTGAACAGATCGGCCATTACTTGTTTCAGGTGTGGAAAACAAGGTCATTATCAGTTTGAGTGCACAAGTGAGGAGAAGGATGTTAACTATGCAGAGCTCAATGAAGAAGAAGAATTTCTGTTAATAGCCCATGTGGATATAAACAATGATGAGGGAGATGGAATATGGTTTTTGGACTCTGGATGTTCAAATCACATGACAGGAGAAAAGTTGTGGTTTGTTGAGTTAGACGAAGGTTTCAAGCATTCTGTTCGTCTGGGAAACGGCTCGAGTCTGATGGTTCAAGGGAAAGAGAAAATAGAATCGAAGTAGAAGGGATCGTACAGGTGGTGAGCGACGTGTATTATGTTCCAAAGCTCACAAACAATCTGCTGAGCATTGGACAGCTGCAAGAGAAACAGCTGACGATCATAATCAAGAATGGAGTGTGTAAGATTTTCTACCTGGAGCGAGGACTGATTGTGGAGACACAGATGACCAGAAACCGTATGTTTTTGGTCCACGCTAAGAAGAGGTCGCCCCCAGGAAGCTGTTTCAGAATGGAGGATGAAGACTTGGGAGACCTTTGGCATCGAAGATTTGGACATCTAAACAATAAGTCCATTCAACTCATGCAGAAGAAGGAGTTAGTGAAAGGGATACCCAATCTTGTAAACGAACCAAAGGTCTGTACCGTATGCAATGTGGGGAAACAACAACAGAGCAGGTTTCCAAAGAAGAGCAAGTGGAGAGCAACAGAGAAGCTGGAATTGATCCACACGGACTTATGTGGTCCAATCACTCCAGTCTCTAACAGTGGTAAACGTTATCTGATGGTGTTAGTTGATGACTTCTCTCGGAAAACCTGGATCTACTTCCTTGCAGAGAAAGCAGAGGCTTTCGAGACTTTCAAAGTTTACAAGAGTCTCGTTGAGAAAGAAGCTAAGACCGTGATCAGAGGGCTGCGCACAGATAGGGGAGGAGAATTCACTTCTGAGGAATTCAATAAGTTCTGCAGAGATCAAGGCATAAAGAGGCAACTAACTGCAGCATATACCCCTCAGCAAAACGGGGTGGCTGAGAGGAGAAATCGCACGATCATGAATATGGTCCATGTTTGTTGTCGGAGAAGGAAATTCCAAGATCTCTGTGGCCAGACGCAGCCAGATGGACAACTCATATTCTGAACCGGAGTCTCACCAAAGCCATCAAAGACAAAGTCCCAGAGGAAAGATGGACAGGGATTAAACCGAAGGTGGATTACTTCAGAATTTTTGGTGCAGTGGCGCATGTGCACATCCCGGTGCAGAAGAGAATAAAGCTCGATGATCGCAGTCACAGGTGCATTCTTCTCGGAGTCAGTGAAGAATCCAAGGCTTATCGCCTATATGATCCAGCAACAAAGAAAATCATTGTAAGTAGGGATGTGATATTCGAAGAAGATGCGAATTGGGACTGGAAACTAAACATTCCTGAGGAAAGTGAGCTGGCTTGGGGAGATGATGAAATGTTAGATGGCAAAGAAACTGATGAAGAGGCAGAGGATGGAAGAGAAGAAAATGACAATGTTGTAGCAGAACCTGTGGAGACTGTTAACGGTAGAAAATCAGCAACCAGAGAATAGTGGAACGTCAAGGAGGCAGAAACAACAACCCACTTGGATGCAAGACTTTGTTAGTGGTGAGGAGATAAGCGAAGAGGAAGAAGAACTGATGAATCTGGCCTTATATATTTTTGGTGATGATCCGGCGAACTTTAATGAGGCTGAGAAAGAAGGAAAATGGAGGAAAGCTATGGAGTTAGAGATTCAGTCCATTGAGAAAAACAACACATGGGAGCTAGTTGATCTACCGGCTCATGCGAAGAAGATTGGTGTCAAATGGGTTTACAAAACGAAGTTAAACGAGGAAAGGAAAGTAGAAAAGTGCAAGGCTCGACTGGTGGTAAAAGGTTATGCTCAAACTGCAGGAGTTGATTACACAGAGGTATTCGCACCAGTTGCTCGTTGGGACACGATAAGGAGTCTTCTGGCTGTCGCGGCTCAACGAGGTTGGAGCGTTTATCAACTCGATGTCAAAAGCGCATTCTTGTATAGTGAACTAAAGGAAGAAGTCTACGTTGATCAGCCGGAAGGATTTATCAGAGCAGGGGAGGAAGATAAAGTGTATCGCTTGAGAAAGGCTCTCTATGGCTTAAAACAGGCACCACGAGCCTGGTTTAGTTGCATTGAGAGTTATTTTGTGAAGGAAGGTTTCCAGAAGAGCAGCTATGATCACACGCTGTTTTACAAGAAAACAGACAACAAGACGCTGGTGGTAAGTCTTTACGTGGATGACTTGATTTTCACAGGAAATGATGAACTCCTATGTGCAGAATTCAAGTCATCTATGCAGAGAGAGTTCGAAATGATTGATATTGGCAAGATGAAGTTTTTTCTTGGCGTAGAAGTTCACCAAAGCAGCAGAGGGATACACATTTGTCAGAAGAAGTATGCGAGGGAGGTTCTGGAACGCTTCAACATGTGGAACTGCAACTCGGTTAAAA